ACTCAATAATACATAGAACAACTTTTTGATATTTAATCATATACATAGCTAATGTAATAAGAAAGAATTTTTATTCTATAGAATAATGTAATATGAAAGAGTGAGAAACAAGCTTTAGATAACTAATAATAATTATTCATTCAATTTAAATAGAAGAGGCAAGACGGAAACAAAAAATCCTATATAGAACATTATTTTGTACATGAGATTGTTTTGCAAAGATTTCTCATAGATATAGGCGATTATTATTTCGTTATATTGCTTTATTATTTTCCCGTTATGTTAAAATAGGGAAATTAAATAGATTTAATATTAAAAACTCAAAATTTTGAGTTAGGATAATGGCAAACGACCTATCAAATTTTAATTTTGGTTCCTAGTAAAAGAATCTCATTTCCTATACTTTTGTTTTATTCATTCTCAATAGGTCTAAATTCTCAAGTACGCTTAAATTTATTGAAATACATAATTCTATGATTAAAAATAGAAACCAACAAAGTTCAAAATTTTCAATTAGATTTTAAAATTTCTGTGATTCAAATTATATATTTTAATCTATTAAAATTTAATTAGTCTACTTTATTTAGTTCAATTAATTAAGTGTTTTCTTAAAACGACAGAATTTTTCGGAAGCATGTTGCATTTAATTAAAAGATTGCAAACAAAATTTACAATTTCCTACAATTTTCGTAGGAATTCGTAATATTATTAGTCTATTACAATCATTCGTAAGACTAATAATAACATCGTACAGAATATTAAAAAAAAAACAGAGATCGCTTTTCCAGTAAATCTATACAAATGATCGGATCTGAATTAAACCGAGATGCTATCATTAAGTCCAGAGAACCTTTTCTAACTATCAATCTATTATTAAAAAATAATTTTAAATCTAGGAGTTTAGAAGAAATTCGGTGAGAAATTCGGTGAGAAATCCAGCACGATTCTTTGTTATTTTTTTCTCTATTTATTCATATTGTGTGAGGAATCGAGAAAAATTATCAAATGTTGTTTTTTTTTTTGGATTTTATTATTGCCACTACTTTTAATTTATCTTCTTATACAATTTCTGTGTAGTTGCTTAAAATTAAAAAATAAGAAATTATTTTAAAATGAAATCCAGTGAAAGATAACCACTGAATTTTTGAATAATATTTAATCTGAAAAATTCTTTTGGTTGTCCTTTTTTTTTCTTCTTCATGTCGAAATAGTTTTGTATACTGTAGCTTATAAAATGAAATCAAAAATTAAAATAAAAATACAAAAAATTAAAAAATATTTTATTGAAATTTTCTCTTTAATTCTTTCTGGTCAGTCTCATGTTAAATTTTTTTTTTTTACATTTCTTTTTTGCAAATTTTCTTCGTCTTTGTATTCCTTTGATTTTTGAACTTTTAAATAAATTTTCGTTTCCTTCTCAGTTTTCATCTTATACAATTTACACTGTAATTCCTGTACTTCATATATAATATTTTCTTAATATCATTACTTGTATGTATATGTGCATATACTATGTAGATAAATATTAATATACTAAATTATATAGATAGAAACAGAAGAAATAAAACATAGTAAAGATTTCATTTAAAAGCTATTTCTTATATATATTACATACACACACATACTTATGATCCAAGAAATTTGTTATAAATTTAATTAATCAGTCTTTTGACAAAATATTTTGCATTCCATAAGATAAACTGAAAGGATTGAAAATCAGGTATTTTGCTTCCCCCTTTATGCCCAATTTTTTTTCTTGCTCTTGTTTTCCGTATTTTTTTTTTGTTTTGTTTGGTTTTGGTTTATAATCAAATTTTATAAACAAAAATGCGTTTTTGATTATTCTTGCCTAACTGCTAATAAAAAAATGAAAAAAAAAAGACAAAAACCAGAAGTTGAAAGTTAAAGAAAATGCTTATGTAGAGATTTTTTATTGGATTTTATTTTACGGTAAATATGTGCTTACACACACACAAATGCATATATACAACTTCAATATGAAAATAACCATAGTTGAGAAATTCATTTTAACTCAGTTCCCATGGAAATATTTTTTGAGAAAGGCTAACTTGCCAAAACAAAAAAAAAACTTAATAAAAAAAAAGACAAAACCCAAATAATACAGAAAAAAAAATAAATATTTCAATATTTGAAGTGTAAGAAATATTTCATGTGTCTGCGGGACAATAGAGTCAAAATTTTCGAAATCGTTCCCTTTCATTTTATTTTTAATTTTTAATTTTTTTGTCTCTCTGCCCTCAATTATCAAATTAAAACATTTTTTTCTTGATTTGTCCTTACTTTTTTTACTTTTTTTTTTTTTGGGGATTCAAAAAATGAATTCCTTTACTAAAATGAATGCAGACTGAATTTTAAAAATTTCATTGATTATTTTATTGAATTCTTATTTTTAAAAAAATTATAGCTATGTGTGTATAATCAAATTAAATTGAAGAGAAAATCTAAATTCTTAGATTAGAATCTAAAGAAACAAATTTTTAGCAAAATTTTTAAACTTTTAATTAGTACAAATTTATGATGTTGTTATAAGTTTTAAAGATTAAGGGCGCCTAATACGAATTATATTTAAAAGAATTTTTATACAAAAGATTAACAATATTTTTTGTATTTTATTATTATTTTCACATTGTATTGGTTTGGGTTTAAATTTATTAATTTTGCATTATTGATTTGAAAAAGCAAGAGAACAAATCCCTAAAACGGCAGAAAAAAAAAGTTCATAAGATTTTTGATAAACAAGAATTCTGAAGAGAAGACGAAATCTCATCAATTAGAAGTAAAAATTATTAATTGCTTAATATATTAAAATGAATTTTATTTTTAAATTTAACCCTTTAATGCATAAAACTACCCATTTAAATATTTATTCGTTAAATTGTAAACTACACAATCTGAAATAATTAGCAATTAAAGATAATCGCTAATTGTTTTTTTTTAGATACGCCTAAAAATATGCATTTTTTCTTATTAAAAATTTTTTTATAATTAAATATTAGGAAACATATGAAAAAGTTATAAATAAATTTCTATTCTTGTATATCCACACTAAAAGTAAAGGGATGTAGAGTGAAATTGACAATTTTCTAAAAAACATTTTACCAAACTTTAAAAATATAAGAAATAAATCAAGAAGTCACACTTGTTAATTTTTGGAATAGCACAAGAAAATAAATGAGTTTTACATTAAAATCATGACAATTGATTGCTTTATTAAATAAATTTAATTGCTATGTACAAATCTATTCGTCCATCCATTCTTCTGAATAATATCAAATTAAGAAGCCGCGCAAGCCATCAAATTAAGTACTAAATATCTTAATTTAAAATATTCCACTTTTGCATTTTTCAACACCTTAATCTACTCAGAAGAGTTTCAGGCTGCGCAGACAATGAAAATATCTTGATGACACACGCAACTAATACATATATCATACAACAATCCCATGCTGCCACTTCAAAAATAAAAAGGTCAAATCCATCATTTATCTTAATTTCACCAGCTAATAATGTTCTATCAGTTGACGAATTAGCTTAATACTCATTCGTTTTATAAAGCCTAACTTAAATTGGTTTTATTACAAATTCTGGAAAAATTTAATTTTAAATCTCTTCTAAAAAGAAATACAAAATATAAAAAAATGTTCATTAAAGCAAAATAAAGCTAAATGTTACGAAATATAAATGCATATAATAAATTCTAAACGAATTAATTAATAAATTTATATTCCGATCATGTTCATTCAAGTGTGCAATGAATCTTGCCCATTTCTTTTAATTTTCCCTTTTCATATCTTAATTTTATTTAACATTTATTTTGTTTAATTTTTTGTTTATTTTTAATTTTTATATAAAATTCTGCGTACGAATATTTTTTCGCATCAAAATTAATGGAGCAGCAAGCAAGCAAAGCTATCATATAATCACCTGAACTAGCATATGAATGTTCTTATCGAAATTTTAAAGAGAATTTATACGCGAAAATTTTAGTATATAGTAAGCGACCTCTGCCTGATTCATCACCTCACACATATTTATACCATAAAAAGAAAACGGCAAAAATGAATTTGAAAAAAAAAGCATTTAAATCATAACTTTTTTACTCAAACAAAAAAAAAAGGTTCTTTTATAACTCAAACAACAAAATTCCACTCACTTTATGTAGTAATAAAATGTTAATAAAATAAAATTATTTTGAAACTGTTCAAGAATGAAGAAGAAAGCCTTTCAACAGTTCTCCATCTTTATTATACACTGTTATACACTTTGCATACACATATACTTATACTTATAAAAAGCCGTTTACTTCATAAATTACATGTACATATATGTATATGTGTATATTTATATTGTTTTGAAATTTTGATGTCTTGATTTCATGATGATGACGGCGATCATGATAATGTTGTTACTTTACATCACAAAATTTAATGTAGATACTCTTTCGCTCATTCTCATTGAAATCTAAAGAGAAAAAAAAATGGTTGTCATAATTTTATTTTTTTTTTTTTTATTTTATTTCTACATTTTCATACTTTTTTTTCCATATTTATTTGAAATATATTTTGACCTTTTTTTGACAGATGATGAACTTCTTTAATAATCACGACTCATGGTCACTGAATATTATACGATGATCATTGTTCTTATGCTATATATTGTATTATATAAGTATACACACATACAAACACAATATTGTATAATTATTATAAAATATACTCTATGATCAAATCAAATGATTATTTAAATATACGTGATTCAACACATTTTCCTTTGTGAATGAAATTGTGAATGGATTTTTAAATTTAGTGAAAAAAAAAACAAAACAAAAAACAAAATGAAAATATTTAATATTATTTACAATTCTTTTTTAACCTTCTCCTACATTTCTTTCAAATATAATTTAAAAATTTTGTAAATTTAACAATAGATTTAGAATGAATTCAAAATTCAATTATCTTTATTATTTTTTTTACTTATAGTCTATACGGTACACCGGACGGACGTGCAATGTGCCGTTCCGTACCTGATTTAACAAAAGATCAATTAGATCTTTGTTATAAAGCTAGTGATGTTACATTAGCTGCATTAGAAGGACTTGAATTAGCGATACGTGAATGTCAAATTCAATTTCAATGGCATCGATGGAATTGCTCTTCATTAAGTACAAAAAGTCGAAATCCTCATTCCTCAAATTTATTAAAAAAAGGTATGTATTAAAAATGTTATATTTTAATTTTTTGCATTTAATTTTCATTTAAAAAATAAGAAAGTTTTTGTTCTGTTAGGACAAAATGTTTGCTCTTATACTCCACACCTACTCTTTGACTTGGTGTAATTAATTAGGGATAGAAGTATTATGTCTCAGTATCTGTTATAGATACTAAGCCTAACTCAACCATGTAGAACTCGAATCTTAGTTCGAGTATACATATATACGGCATGCGACTGGACACCCGTTAATACGCTTGGAATCATCAACCTCAATGACCGTCATTGAGTTAATTAGCCATGATCGATCTGATATATATGTATATAAGATTCTTGATTTCTCTGGTCCCGGAAAAATGTATTGATGTTTTCAGTGCCATCCGTCCATCAATCCCCTTCATAAAATTAACACAATTTTGCTATTAAACGCGGACTTATTAACCTGTTTGAAACATGGGAGGGCGTGATCATGTGAGGATACATTCCATATTCCATTCTTCCAACGAAAGAAATTAAGCTAACACTACATTAGATTTTTTTACTGGAGATTGTTCATTGAAATAACTAGCGCAAAACTGGATAAATCTGATTTGGCCCTGTATGGATTCCTAAAAGTAGTGACGAAACTTTTATACATTAACTGTTTCTGCCCGAAACATATTATATATTGTTAAAACAGGAAGAGAAGTTTCTCTCTCTTCAGTGTCTATTTGCAAAATTCAAATGCTTTAAACTTAACTATATAATTAAGTTTTCACACACTTTAGTTTTCAATTACAATTTTTCACTTTCTGCGATTCATTTGCGATCGGTTTAATATACTTTCCTCTTATAAAGATTTTAATTTTTAAATTTGACGACATAATCACTTCTTTAATTATAGTAATCTCGAAATCATTACCACTTGGCGATATTTACTTTTAATATTTTCATTTATAATATTCTCCTTTCTAGTCTTTTTTTACATAGCTTATGCAAAAATTTTATTCTTTTTTCTAATTTCGAATAAGAACTTGTTATATAAATTTAAATTTTTTTTTTGTTCATATTCTTAACCAGTTCATAATATAAATTAACTCTGATATTGTTATAACACATTGACTTCCTACATGTTTAATTTTTACTTAAAGTCTTTATGTAATTTGACGCTTTACAATAACTTTATTTGTTGTATTTTGATACGATTAAATACTTGATTACTATTATCATCCCAATTAATCTCTTTATCCTCCCCCCCCAATCCCTACTCCAAATGTTTTACACAGTTTAAGTAACAAAAAAACTTAAGGAAAAAAAAAAGTATTTTTAAAATGTTCTACAAGTAATTTTTGTAATAACAAAGCAAAAATAAAGAGTCTAAATAAAATTATATTTTAACATTTAATGTCAGATGGTGATTTTCCATTAATCTGCTTCCACATATACATATATATGCATACATACATGTAAAATAGTCTTATGGCAAAAATGTAAAATGTGGTTTGTAAAACTTAAGAACATGTTAGGAAGTTGTTACTGATAGATTGTCTCTAATAATCCTTTTTAAAGTCGACTTAATTTGATATGACTTCTAGCAAAAAAATTAAATTCTTTTATTTTTATTACATTTTTTTCTGATTTATTTCGTTTATTTTCAACTTTTGTTGAAACTCTTAATGTTGGTCACTATGATGATCTCTTATATCACAATATTTATTGAGGCAAGCAGGTCTAGTTTATTTTTATTTTATATATTTCTGATTTTCTTATATTAATTTGCTTGTTTTTTTTTTTTTTTTAATTTTCTACTTGTCTTACATTTTACCTTCAAGTTTTCCAATTATTTGTATACCTATAGTTATTTAAGTCTATTATAGCGCATGTGCTTTTATATCATCGATGCGTTACAAATAATTCTTTCTTCTAGGTTATTTAATCTATGTTTAAAGTAAGGTGTATAGGGTTTTAAATTTAAATCTTTGAGCAATTTTATAAGTTGTCTATATATATATATGTATATATAATTACCTTTCAACTTAACATAAACAAAGAGTATATTAGTTTCAATTATATGTTTGTATATAAATTATAAAATGCACTGTTGACTCATTGATACAAGCGTTTAAATGAATTCGCAATGAGAATTTAAGTTTAAATTCATTTATATGTACATACATACATACATTTTGTTTGAAAATATATATATATATGTACGTATGTACAAAGGCGGTAATAAGCACTATTTTTTTTTTTAATTTTTTGCAGTTAAATTATTTTCTTCATTAATAAAAAATTAAATATTATTTCTTTGTTTATTGTATAGGTTGACAAACTTTAAAGAAAATATAATTGAAAAGTTGCAATTTTATTAATGAAAATGTATATGTGTTAAAATATTAAATTAATAATCCAACAAAGAAAATTTTCGAAAATTTGCATGTACTTTGTTTAGACAAGTTTTATTAGCATTCGTGTATAAGTGCTAAGTGACATCAAGGAAATTTTCAATTTCAACGTTGCTATCGTTGATTTTCACTAAATTTTGTCTGTAGTAGAAAATATGTGTGCTGCTATATAACATTTTATTAAACATGTTAATATATTAACGTATACATAGCTAAGCAAGCAAATCTCAAAATTGAACAATACAAAAATTCTTAATTTTACTTTAACGAATTTGGTTAAAACTTTTAAATCTGACGAAATAAAATTTTTGATCTAAGTACATAATTTTCGGAGAAAAAGTACACGGACATTTTCTTTTAAAAAATTGGCCAAATTTTCACATAGGTCCCTACAAGAATCATTAAAAATTTAATTTAATTTTCTCATCAACATTTCAAATATTCGAATTTTTTTTTTGTAACCAAATTATAATAAATTGTTTGAAATTTTTTTTTTGTTGTATGAGAACGAACAATAAAATAATTGTATATTAAGAAAAACAATTGAAAATACCTACATAAACATAACAAAAGGTAAAAACGCGGAAAAAATAAAATAAAAAAATTTATTCTCAGAAAATTATTTTCAAACTTAAAACTGAAATGCATTTTATATGCAAAACGAATTCGATTGTAAATGTTAATTCAAATGATCTCTTATTGATATATCTGTAGCATATAATCAATTACAATTTTCTTAGAATGGCCATCTATATGTGAGATCTGTAATTTTTGAATTGTTTTGCATCACCCATAACTATAAATAAAATAATGTTTTTTTGTTTTTGCATTTTATTTCATTTGTTTACCTTTTTTTTATTCATTTGAAAATTCTAACACTAATTGGTCAATGCTGACAAGCGGCTGTCAATTATTATCTATATAAGCCAATCAACATTTTATTTAATGACTTCTTCTCACAGTATTTATGTGCATCTATAGTAAATATACGAATTTATTACGAATAGGTACTCTTTATTTTAATATTTTAACAAATTAAATTAATGATAAAAAATTGATAGATAAATTATAATTGCAATTTCTATTATTTTGTCTATTCTCTATCACAATAGTATAATTTAAATTCAGGAAATCCAATTTGAATTGATGATTATTAAATTAAATTATGAAGAGTTTTTGAATTATTATTCTTGAAGAAATTGCTAGATTTCAACAATATTCATGATAGGATAGAGTGAGTGTTGTTGATTTATATTTATGCTGGTTAAAATAGCATCTATAATTCTATTAGATTTAAGGTTACTTTCAATTCCAAATAATTGACAAATTACTTTGAAGTTTAACTGTAGGCCCGAGGATAAATTTTAATATTAAAGACCTATGAGGTAATCCTGTAATCTATGTACTTAAAATCGTCTTTACAAATCTGGAAAATTATAATATTAAAAAAAATTTTACTTAAAAAATCCAAAGATTTAGGAAATTCTTAAAATTAATTAGAGAATTTTCACAATTAAAAAAGCGAAGGTACTCGTATATAAGTTTCCGGATCTTATTAATATTATCTTGAATTATATCTAATCTACCTATATCAGAGAATAGTCTACATAGACAACTACAAGAGATTTAAAGTGTCCGTCTAGAAAGCGGTAGCTCAATGGTTCGAATTTGATTCGTTTCTTTGATTACGTCATCTATTTGCTCTGCGGCTGTATGAACAAATTTTTAATAGTTATTGAAATACAATTAATATGATAGTTTATTTTAAAGTGCACTTTCGTCCCTCAGCGTCAATCAAAACTGTGATTATGATAGCTGTAAACCTTTTTAATTATATATAAATTTTAATCGGTATTTAATATATTTTTTTCAGAACTTCCAGTAGTGTTCAACTGGTTCACCTATTAATGATAGCCTATAGAAGAATTGAAAAAGAAGAAAAATTTTAGTAGGAATCAAATACTCGTAAGACCGATTTCTGTACGCAAATTTGTTTTAAAACTATTTTGTGAAAAAATATTGGAATTTTGTGGAAAAGTGCACCGTCTATTTTTCGCTCTCTTTCTATTACTCTCTCTATTAAGCTATTTTTTAAACAAAACTATAAATATGTACTCCGTATTCCGAACATACTGTTTACATAAATTTCCTGTAAAGACGAACAGACGTACATTTAATTGCTAAATCAGATTATAATTTTAATTAAAAAAAAATATTAACAGAAATTTATATTTTAAAACAATAATTTGCAAAACGAGTTCAATTTCTTATATGTGTGCACACAAAAATAAAACTTCAACCTGTTAATCTATAAATGGTTAAGCACAACTAGAAGATAATCTAAACATTTATATTTTATTTTTTCGAAAAAAAATCACTTTACATTATACCTAATGTATATGCATTTCCTATATTAATACCATATAATTTTTATTACTTTACTTATAAATAATTTCAGAGTAAATTTATTATTTAAATATGAATAGTTAATAAGAAGAAACAAAAATATTAAATGCACATATTATACAAGCATTTCGTTGTTCATTCTATATTTTATTAAGAACCATAAAAATTATATGGAATATCGAATAGTAATTTTATAGCTACTGATTTT